TTCTTCCCCTGCTGCTTTTGCTTATTCCCCCATATGGAGCACTGTACTACTGAGGAACAGGAATAAAAAAACAAAAACAAACAATGGCCCTGACCTTGTCTAGGTGTCTCCATGGAGACGAGGCCTCACTATAAAGCACTCCCCACTGTGTGCTACTGACAGGCCAGCCCTGCCAAAGACATGCTTACCAAGTTGGAGGGCTAAGACAGACACATCCTGCAAGGTGTAATTACATTTCTACTAACACTATATGTACATGAATACAGTTCACCACTAGCAAGACCTGAAGAACAGATTGTTTTGAGATCTGTGTAAATTCATTTCGATTAAAGTTAAAAAATGCTTTAAGGATCTAAGTGTATTCTGTAGTGTTTTGTTCATTTTGATCAGTTATTCTTATGTACGCTCAAATTCCTGCTAGTGTAGCTTCCAAGGCCACAAACAGTCGTTTGTAAGTAATCAGTGGTGAGATAAAATTGTCCTCTCAGGTGTCTCATTCATGAGGTTGAGCGACCATCTTTATCTCTCGGGGGATAAACATAGCTTTCCCGCTAGCCTCTTAAGGAGGGATGATGTCATCTCTCGGTCTTTTACTCTAACGTGGGTCGGTAATACTGTCTGACCGAGGCTATTATCAGTTTGGTCAGTTAAGAATGTAAATACAAACAACAACTTCTTTATGAGCAAACAAGACTGTGCTAATTCCCTGAGCAATGTGATATTTGAATTTTGAAGTAAAATCATTTTTTGATTGGGGTCAGTCAGTTCTGTACAGTCACTACACACAGACAGAATGAGTAGGAGTAAATGGCACTCTAGGTAAACTTTTGTTCCTCAATGTAATGGTATTATTGCACATTATAGTATCATTGTGTCATAATACAGCTTCCTACAAGCAGGGACAGAAACATAGTGGTATGTTCAGTGAGGCTCTAACAGGTAACAACAACCTTTTTCAATGCAAGTAATGACCAAAACTGCTTTTTCATTTGTTAATGACTGCCTGTTTCTAATCTATAGATTGATTTGCATGTCCATTTTGAAACAGTATTTGATCTGCATGGGGATTTTTGTATCCCGTAACAATTTAAGGTGTCTGCTGTTTTCACTGTCCATAGTGTCCCAGACAACACTGGTTGAGCCGGTTTTTTAATTTCCCCAACCTGCGTCATTAAGAAGCCGGCCAAAACACTTTGTCTCCTGCCCCCTGAAGGTATTCCTCTTTCCTTTTCTTCGTCTTCTTCTTCTTATTATATAATGATTCTACATCAGTTTCCAAATCAACGTTTCACTAGAATCTTGCTTTGCTTAGATAAAGCAAAGCCTACCTGGATCTTGTATACAGTTTGGGATAAAAGCCAGTAACACTTGTCATAATATTGAATATTGACCATGACTGAATCCAAATATTTCAACCTGAACCATTTAATATCTCATTCATAAATCCACCTCACTACAACTCTGACCTGAGTACTACCCACTCAAGGATAAGAAAAGCCCACTGAGAGTAACAGGCAACAGGTGGTCCATGAAAGGCAATGGCGGACCCCCTGAGGCTGTCAGTGGGGGAAGAGTAAAGCCAGAGAAAGAGAGCAGGTGGCAAAAGGCTTAACCTGAGCTAAAACCCATTCAATGAGCTCATCTCCGCAGGCTTAGCTCAGCTTCAAGTTGTCTGCTTTCTGCCAGGAAAGCCAGATCTAGGTACTCCCACCCAGTCGGCCAGGCAGCCACCAGCACCCAGCTAATCTGTCTGCGCACTACCTCTTGGCCATATGGTCAACGCCCGTCTGTCTGACTTGCACACAGAGTAATCGGTACACAGTCTCCCGTATTTGTGGAGGGACAGCGCGTGAAAGGGATTAAAGTTGTTATTTTTATGTACAGTACATTCCGCATATAGTCGTGTGTGACTTGTGTGATGGCTAAGTGACAGTTATAGGTAAACAGATACAGCCGTCCCGGGCTCTATAATCTCACAACATCCCTGTGTTGTTGTGACCTTCCACACCATATCCAACCCATCCATGTCAGGGCAGCCCAGGTAAGCCTTTCTCAAGATACAGGTAAACAGCAGATTCCCACAATCCCACTGTCTCAATAACAAGTGTGTATTGTACAATAAGCTCTGCTAATCCTTGGCTGTGAACGTGCCTGAGTGAACCTGATATAACCCCACAGCATATCTGTCTTGTCCGTTTGTAATTCTCTCCACTGACATAATACAGAATGCACTGTGCTATTCAGGTTTAAATCAACACACTGCAGGTAAAGCTGAACAGGAGTCACAAAAACATTTTTTTCTATGTGAGCTTTGGTTGAGCTGGAGACAATAACAAAGGCTTGTTATGGTGGCTGTGTCAGCACCATATCTACCTGCCTACTGCTTTACTCTAATCCCCTGTGTCCAAGCCTATTTTAATGATGTCATGGCAGGCAGAAGTGCTGATGTTGTCCTTAAGACTTGGTATAATTGAATTACTTGGTAGATAATCTCTATAAACAGATATGTACATGAATGCAGAATCTGAAGGCAAGGGGCGAGACTTTGGTATCGGAAGCAATCTGATTTCTGTTTGTAAGTATTGACCACAAGTATTGATCACATTTGACTGGGCTTTGGTTGAGTGCAGGTAAACAGTCCGTGTGGAGAGCAAAAAGAGAAAGATTGGTTGAAATCCTCTGACGTCATTTTAGCCTTTTATCAGTCTGGGAACCCATCTGCTATCGTCTGACGAGGATTTATCATTCCTATGCGGTTTATAGAGATTATCATTCTCTCAAGTTGCTTATTGTACTGTAAATGAGCAGCACATGGAGGAGGAAGTCTTGGCCCAGTTAGCCGTTCTCTGGATATGCGCTGGTTACACCAGGACCCCCGAAACATGGGAACTTTCACTAAATCGTCATCATGAGATAGCCGATGGATTCCCAGATTGATTCTTAGAAGACACGTCAACGTCATGGATTATCTGTTTCTAGAAGTGCTCTCTAGTATAATCCTTCAGCAGCATGAATAAACACTACTAATCACAGCCTCGCATGAATATTGTGTTTCCCTCCAGCACTGGTCGAATGTGAGTCACTATGTCAGCTGTTGCTATGCTGTCACTTTTCTGGCTTCGTCTTGGTTAATCAAGAAGAGCTGCCCACCGCCAGTATGCCCACTACTGCATCAATCAGCCTACACTGAGCGAGGAGACACCTCAGCAGGTTCCCAGTCACGATGCTCATTATCATTTGCACTACGTTCATCATCATCACACACTCACAGCTGGTACTGCTAAATGGTCTCCAAGAGGGAGCGGTTCAAAAGCTTAGGCTGCAGGTAAACATGGTCCTCATGGAGCTCGTACTTGTCCTTCTCATGTGAGAGGTCACATGGTAACAACATCATTACATGCTGCGCACAGAGGTCATGCTCTAAGAACAGGGTCCTCTGAGGGGGCTAGCATACATAAATCCAAAATGTATGTTTAATTTATATGTATATGTATGTCTATAATGTAGGTCTTATGTGTTACATTGCATAACTGGCTCTATATCTATCTATCTATATTCTGTTCATTCAGAAACATTCCTGTCATACTCTACACTAATGGCTTCATTCAAAGCAGTTTACTTGCCAAATAAATCAGAAAGCTTTCTCCTACTGGGTAGGGGGAGAAAGAAAAAAGTGGGAGCAGAGTGAATGGAAGCATAATGCAGTTAGTATTATCTATTATAAAATTCAATAAGATGATTGAAATCAGTATGCTCAAATATCATATGTACATGTTAATATCACAAAACTTACAGCTGCAACTGATCTACTGATGATTTTCTTGACTAACCAATGAATTGCTTGGTCTAATGATTGGCAGCAACTACCGAGACATCCATCACAACTGAAAGCTTTTGGAACTTTTGCAAATGTTTTTGTTGATGGTAAAACATCACCTCATTAATTGATTCATTAATCGCTGATTCACTTTCTGCTCTAACAGAAACAGGGATAAGGTTAACTAATAGTTCTCGAATCAGTTTACAGTGAGTAACATATGGGTTGAATTTCAGCTATCAGTGCAGTGGTGGCTGCAGGAGACAGCAGTCAGCGGTAGCGCCAGAAGTTAACAACAGTAAGCAGTTACCAACAACAATCTAAAAAGTCTTCAAATTAATTTATATATATGAGTGACAGCTGCTGCGGAGGTTGGTGTATTTTAGTTAGCAATGCACTGAGGGGCAATAGCCAATGAAATGAAGTTAGCAGCAGCAGTCAGTGTCATCCAGTTGTGGTGGGGCACTTGTTTCAGAGAAACTTTCTGCTCTTCTGTGGTCTTATATGATCTCTGACAGAACTTGTTTGTTTTGTATTGTATTGTGGGTAATGCAGGGGGCGGTTTTTGAAAAGGAAGAAGGAAGTGTGGAATAAAAAAAGATGATATCTCTGGTTCTTTTTTTAGTAAAAGTAGTAAAGTAAAACACTAAATCAACGGAGTACTCTTTTAAATGATTAACTGACTGACAGGCAATTACAAAATAATTGTTAAATGAAACTACCAACAACACAAATAATACTAAGTGCTACACAGCTCTGTAATTTGATGTCCAATTAAACCCCAGAGATTCACTATGGTGAAGCTTTCAGCCGCCTGCTTATGAAAGAATTTGAGCCTCTGTGTTAGTCGTTAGAAAGGTCACTGTCTGCTGCTGCTACGAGTCTGAGTCATCCAGCATGAATTTACAAATGAAACGTGACATTCGAGCTTTATAAACAAGTTGTTTTTAAAAAAAAAAAGAAGAGCTGTTGGCTTCACCGAGGTCCCTGCAGACACCTTATCTGTGCGACATCATGACGGGCAGGAAGAGGGTTCTGAAACGGAGACAACAGCCCTCTCCCACACGAGCACACACAGGCTGACCCCATCACTCACTCACGTCCACGCATACTGTACGTACACACAGGTTACTGACACACACACACACACACACAGCGGCAGAGTAAAGGGCCTTCATCTCACCTGGTCGTTCACTCTGTGGGCCACGATCGTAGCCGCCTCCTCCTGCTCAGCATCGCTAAGGGGTCGGATCCTCAGAGCAACCTGCAGCACAGAGTATATTTAGTGGTGTTTGAATTTAATCAACGCAGAGATATTCAATTTACTGAAATCACAGGTTAGAAAATGAATTGAACTCTGCCTCGATGGGCAGGAACGACACTGACAGCACTAAATGTACAGCTTCTACAGTGAATGAGTCTGTGTTGTATCTACAGTCGTGGCTGAATTCTAGGTTTCTTCATCGATTTTGACCATTAAGATCTCTTTAAAATGTCAAGCACAGAATATACGATTTTCTTCCATTCAGCCAGATAAAGACCACTCACATGTAGCTGGCCCTGAGCTTAAACTGAACCCTGAATTTTGCATTAATTTCACATTTCATTTCACTTTTTTCTCGCTAGTTTCCAGCCCAAACACACGCAGGTGATTTAAACTGGAAACTCAAAATTGTAAAAAGATGTAAAAAACCTGAAGCCTGAACGTGAAGAACAGGTATAAAGAAACAGACTAACTAAATTCACTCCACATTCCACTCTTCACGGCCTGATTAATGCATAAAGACGCCCTGCAGACATTAAGAAACACATTACAGTTAAGACATTTCCTACAATCAGCGACACTCCTCTCAAATGTGAAACAGACACCTGTAGTTTTTGACGGTAGCTTAGCTTCCCCTTATCAACGCTGGACAGCATGATGTCTTTTCGTGAAAACAGACTAAATCAATCACAGCAGCGGCGTCCTGTATCCACTGGCTGGCATGCGTATGACCCACAGGCATATGCAACAACTCTGATGTGCTGTTGAACACACTGCAGCATGCTAAATCAACCACACGTTTGGGGGTTTTTGTTTGTAAGTATTTGTAATATGAATGGTAATAATGTAATATTGTTCCAATAATAAGGCACTCTGTCTCAGCACCCTGTAGAAAGTGCATTACATGCTGTACAAGAGAGAGGCCAGGCAACTCAAACAGCCACTTCAATTATTCAGATACAGGCTGCAGAAGCCAGAGCAGGTAGTGTATGGCTGTGAATCCTAACATGTTACACTAACAATGCACGCTGTTAGGAATTCAACTAACAAGAGTACACTCCACTGGGTACACTCGCACAATCTAATGCAAATGCTCTGCCAGAAATTCTACTTTTATAATGCCTTTTTCTTTTTCTTTTTTTTTACATAGAGGTGTTAATTAAATTATAGGTTTTAACAATGAGGTCATAGTTAGTGGTAGTGTTGCGCTGGGCTGCATCACATTCAGAAACACCTCTAAAGACACTGTAGTCCAGTGCAGAACCAACTTTAACTATACAGGCATTGTATTAGATTGTATAGTTAAGCAGCAGATTCCTGCGTTTGTTCTTATGTTTGAGGTTTATTAAACGTTATTGACTACTAACCACAGACTGTTTGAGTAAAAGGGGGGATTAAATGATGAAAAACGTTTACATTACTGCCTTAGCCAGGAATTTTAAAGTATAAACTCTGTAAACTCACAGTTAGTTGGTGGTCCTTTGATTCCCCCGTGTCCTTCATGGTCACTTTCGGTCCGAGTGAGGGACAATGAGCGTCAGACGGGACACTGGACCATCCTCCTGGCTGTCGGTACCTGCATGCCCCCCCCACACACACACACCTTCTGCTAACGAAACACCTGCAAGCCCACACAACTCAACAACTAGTGGGCTCTCCGCGGCTCCTGTAATGCTCTCTGTCTGCCTCCGGCTGAATAACAACCGCAGCTAACTATTACCGAGCCCAGAAACGACTTGACGACCTCAGCGTTACTACGAGCCGAGTCCCCCCGGCTAACTGTAGTCTTTCTACGTCCTTTAAAGTGCGTCGACGGTCCCCCGCTCGTCCTGGTTCCCCCTCAGCAGGCGCAGAAACCCGGAGAGTAATTGAAGAGACAGGTGGGTAACACCAGCAGCAGCCCACCTGCTACCTTCCCTTCCTCAGTCGGTCCTCCTCCTCCTCTTCGCTGCCCCGCCGCCGCTGTTGGTTTCTATGTGCGTGCGTGTGCGTGTGAGCGTGCGTGCGTGAGGACCTGTTGCCCCTGGAGATCCGCGGTGCGTTACTTCCGACTATTAAATAAAAACACGCGTCTTTTTTTTTTCATGTGATGTGATTTTAAAGAAAAGTATTACGCCATAAAAATGAATATCACATTCATTGATTCTATTTTGTTATTATATGTGTGTGTTACTCCTTTATTGTTGTTATTTCCTTCACAAATGCAAACATTCAGTTATTTATTTTTTGTACCTTCTAAAGTGTTATATATTAACCTAAGATTATAAATAAATATATAAATATGTGTTCTGCAGGAGTTAATACAGCTTCCACTGGGCAATATTTCTTTGCTGAGACTATGCTGCCACCTGCTGGACCATTTAAGAGTTACCTTTCTTTGTGCCAACAGTCGACAAACAGATGGTCAAGCCCACAATATTTTAAAAATAAAAACAAACACACACATACTGAAACAAATACACACCTCAGTTTTGGGGGATCTGTTCCCAATTTATGTTAAAAGAAAAAAATATAAGGTGTCCAAAACACCACAAACAAATATAATATATAATTCTTCATCTTGTCACTAATGATTGAAGTGGTGTGTATGAAATGTGTGCAGCTTGTGTTCCCTTTTGAACATAAATAAATGTTGGATATGTTTTGTTTTTTTTCTGCAAAAAAAAGTTCAATTACTTAGTCAAAAAATATCTTAAAATGAAATCTACATGTTCTCCCTCATCAAAGACTCTTGAATATATGAATATGCAAATTAAACTGCTGGGCACAAGATATTCACTAATAAGTGTATGCGCACTGGAGCCTTCAAGTTTCCTCGTCACACTAAGCTGAATATGGGTCCACAATTGAAGCCCCTGAAAAACCACAACCATTCTTTGATTTCTGTAGATCAAACAACCCAGATGTAAGGTGTTAAGTTGAGTGAGCTTTAGAGGTGCAGGCGGTTTTCATCACTTCATTAATTCCCTCGCCAATCAAATCAAGACATTTCTTCTCTGGAAAACTGTGAGTGGAATTTAGTATTATTTATGTGATATGATTAATCAGTTATTCAGAGGTAGTAACAGATTAGTCAATAACAAACAATCTTTACTTCCAGCCCCAGGAAAAAAATCACTAAACATAATCTCAATAGTATGGAACAACATCACAGCCACAGTGTTAATGTGGATAATTTAGCAGATTACAATAGCTATCAAGTTTCACAGTATTAATTAACACGCAGAAATTCAATCATCCCTCAGGCATGAAAGTACGATTTGAGTCACCATTTAAATGCTATAAGCAGATGTTAATTTACCACAGTGTTGGATATGATATATAGACAGTGGAATATTATTACATTATGTGATTACCTTTTTGAATCATGCATTTTTGATGATTGATTAAACAAATGTAATGTCTGTATCTCTCATGAGCTATCACCACTGCAGCCAAAATGAGAGAATAATATAAAAAACACACACACATTTGAACATTTTGACCTTAGTCTTGACTAGAATTGCAGCTGTGTCTATTTATTTTTTCCCTTATATGCTACTATAACTCTAATATGGAGTCCTTTAATAGACACAGACATCTTGTGAGGATTTAACTACAGTATTTTATATTATGCAAAGAAGTTATGAGTATGGATTGAAGTATATTTAAAGGGTTGATGTCTTAAAAAAAAGATCTTGAGACTTCAAGGAGGCCAAGTGTCCTTTGGTGTCAGTGAAAGTAACACGCAGCATTGTCGTTTGGTCATTTTTACCATACAAAGGCGCCTTTCTGTTGCACCCGAAGGACACCCGACAACAAAGTGAAGACACATCGACTTGTACTCAAAACTTATTTATTCAACTCACAATTAGACCCTGAAGTTTTAAGGTCACACACAAAATTAAGCACCACTCTCAGTGCCTGTACAATGTCACATGCTGAAAGAAATGACACTAAAGAAATTAATTAATAGACAAAACTGCATGTATTAAATCCCTACAGAAAATAATTGTTAGTCAAAACAAACTGTACTGTTTGGGTGGTTTGAAGTGATGAAAATAATTACCTGAATATTTTCAATGAATCATGGTTAGAGCAGCACAGCTTCCCAAGTAATGACAGAGACTACAACTTTTTTGTATTAGTCGAATTAGATATGCAGAAAAACATTACAATTAATGGCCCTTTAGAAAATACAAAAAAATATATAAAAATGGCACATTGTTTAAACAAAATAATCCACATGACAATGAGTCAACAGTCTGTTATTGTACAACTTATATACAGAAGCCATGGTCTCAAGGTAGTCTCGTCTCCAGGAGATTTAGAAACATAGAGCTTCACTTGCAGGCATATCTGTGTGCGAATATAAATAAATTATACCTCAACAATACTTCCTGCTGTGTGCTGCCAGTGCTGGGTTTGTGCTTCACAAATATCAAGCACGAAGCACAATACATAAAAAATGATATGCCACGTTTACATCAGCTTTATTTTCATCTTTGGAGACCAGAATGTACGTTTTGGAAACATCTTGTTGGAACAGGAGAGACGAATATTTAAAAAAATGGATTTATTTTGCGAACATGTTTCTTAATGTTTTACTGCAGTGAGAGATTAATCCTCTATCATCCGTTTCTTCTTCGTGAAGAGTCGAGTCTTTGCCATCGCGCCTGTGACGCAGCCTGATGACTGACGTGTCAGGTAGCGAAGGAACACAATGTATTAAGAGCAGGTTAAGTTCGACAGCACGTGTCAGAAATATTTAGCAAGTTCCCCCACAAGTGACAGAAAAGTGTGATTAATCATTTATGAGCGTACGACACACAGAGACCAGTACAGATATGGATCCATCGTCCCCCAAAGACAGCCAGAATGGAGTCCTGGACTAACAAGATGTTACACACTGTCCTCTGTGATGCTTGGAACAGCCACACACTCTTTGTCTGTTGAGCATGTGTGTGTGTGTGTGTGTGTGTCTGTGTGTGAATGTGTGTGAGTGATGCCGTTTCCCTTCTCGGACAGATAAAGAAGTCTATGCTTGGAAGTCGTTGCCAAACTGTCTTCTCTGTTCCTCGGTCATGGACAGGTAGGTGGCCCTCATACTGGGAGAGTACTGCGGAGGAGAAGGTAAACACACGGACACACACAGAGAACATTATAAAGCTGATACAAGGTTTCACAGGCACAGACTGAGCCTAATCATCAGCTAAAGAAGAAAGAAAATGTCATGGGGGTTTAAAGGAATATTCCACAGAAAATCTATCTTTTGAGTAGCTATTTCTCGCCGCATGCTGGCTTAAAAGGTGGCTCCATAAAGACTGAACCTTGGCATAGGACGGCAGCTGCAGCCAGCTAGGATTCACAGGATTTAGCGACTTGGTAATGCAGACTATGGCATCATTATCGTTGCACCAATAAATCACTAAAATGGCCACTTTAAAGGGTTAGGATTAGGTTTTCATGGTAAGAGTTTGATGAGAAGACTGTTACCACTCTCAGATTGAGCGTAGTAACTATCTTTTAATAAAAAAAGCACATTTTACTAAAATGTCAAGCTATTGTTTGAATATTTCCTGTCATTTCAGTTCCTGCCATTGTTCCCAATATGTTCCAACTGGTTTTAATCACCTGACTTTCATGCCCACCTGCACACATGCTCACTGTATTTATACAGTATTTGCCCTTTCATCCCCGGTACTACACCACATGTGTTCTAGCGTCTGTTTTCCTGTCTGCCCTTTTTGGACTTTGGCCTGCCTGGTTATACTGATATGGATTTGTTTGCTTGTTCCGACTCAATATCTGCTACTGGCTACTTTTACTGCCCCACTTTCGTCCATGAGTCATGGCTTTGCATCAGCACCTCGGTTACTTGGGTCGTTACAAGATCAACAGCAGAGAGGTTTGAAAGGTTTCTATGGATGCTTTACTGCATTTTCACATGAATCTGGAAGCTGACTACAGTTGTCTTCTTCCAAAAAGAAGCAAACAACCATCTTTTAAGAGCCACCTTCCAGGCCACAGGTGCTAAAAAGATAGATTTTTTGTAGAGTAATTCCTTTAACTCGAACATACAAAACTGGCTCAGGGCATAGATAAATGTAATCTTTGTTTACAACAAATCAACCCAGTACTCATTAAATGTACAATTAGCAACATATTTATCACTTTTGACATTCATTTAGTCAATACCTACATAAAATACACTCTATAGCACACCACAAGGCCTGGTGTTAAACACCTTGTGGCAGTACAAGCTATAGAGTTGAATGGTTGGGGCAGAACTGCATGCACAGAGAGGCTAACTGTGAGGAAATCCAGAGACATAACTACAGTACCACCCTGTGAACGCCAGGGGCAGACAAACCCTCACTAACTCAAACAGACTTTCTGGAATGAGAATAAGAAGTTGTGAGTAAAAAGCCATGCCAAACAGGAAAACTGCACAGGAACCAAACAACGTTATGTGAGGTGAAGGAGAGGTAAAAGACGGAGATGCAACAGAGGAAAAGTGAGGGAGTTAATCCTGAGGAAGAGTTGAAAAGACTTACTCGGTTTCTATACTGCTGAGAGTATATCTCCAAAAGTCGATAAAAAAAGGAGGAAATATAGAAATGAAAGATACAAACAAACAAACAAACAAACATACACATGACAAACGAACAAACAAAAAATATATAAAAGAAGCTGTTAGCCGCAGACTACTGCATGGTGCTGTACAGTTATAGTCATGAGGGAGAATTTAATTATGCATTACTTTCTGGTATTAATTAGGAAAGAAGTCATAAGGCAAAGTACATCACATTTTCTGGTTAACTCAAGTTGGAACTAAAGGGCGAAGGTTAATGAGAATGACGACTGACATAAGCAAAAGTTTTTCTTCTTTATCTACAAAAACTGTGGCAACACTAAAGTAGACATCTTTGTTACAACTTTGGTAGAATTCCAAACTCTATGCATAACAATGAATAATATGCAATTCATCATTAATAAATAGTTGGTGTTTACAGCATTTTCTCTCTATATGACCCTTTAAAAACAGGGTTATAAAACAGTGATCTAAAGTAGATTAGATACCCGCAGAATGCATTTAACTGCTGTATTACATCACACGCTTGTGCAGCATGTTAGGAAGAGGCTGCGACCAATGAAAATTTAATACAAAATGTACCTATTTTTATCTCTGTGATGTACAGTAACAGGAGACAAGCGGCCCAGCGGGGGTGAATATATTCAACGAGAAAGAAAATCTTTAGTGTCAACAGTAAGCCAGTTTATGGGTTACGACCCGTGTCACTGTCTCCTGGGAATTTGGCCTGAGAGAAACTAAATGATGTTCTATTCATGATTAAATATTAACTACATTACTTCTCCTCTCCTTGCTTTGGCACTGTAAGTCGTCCTCCTGTAAGTTAAGTTAGAGGACAGGAGAAGGCACAGTGTACAACGGAAGAGTGTCTCATTAAATGCCTTTAAGAAATCTTAAAAAAAAAAGATTGGTTGGTTAAATAAAATAAAGGTTATCAGATATGGCTTAACATTTGAGCGATGTAAAGGTGACATTTAAGAAAGGAAGTGAGCTGAGTCACTGAGTGAAAAATTCTGTCAGCAGTTATTTATAATAAAACAATTTCCTGTGCTGTAAAGGCTAAATTTGTCTGCTAGCTCGGAGTTGACATCATAAGAAGGATTTGGTCTCTGGGACCCAACGCACCGACGGGGGTGGAGAGCCTCGTCCTATCAGAGGCACGTTCTCGTACCGTGGATTTCCCCCGAATAGAGCTGTCTGGTTCCTGAGAAAGAATGACAGAAGCGAGAAATTGTGAATTCGCAAACATTTAGAAATCACACTTGGTTTCACACATTGTTTTCCTCTCACTCACATGTACTCAGACATGGGGGCGTTGGAGACAGCTGGGGCGGGCGGGTGGAGGCTGGTCTGGCTGCCCATGCTGCTGCTGTAGCTGCAGAAGCTGTGCATATTGGTGAGGTTGGGATTCTGAGAGCCTATCCTCCTCGCACGCGGGTTGAACGGATCCTCCTCGTCGATGTCGTCGTAATCGCGTTCTCTAAAGAAAGAAACATCAGCAGAGGAGAGAGGTGATTGGTCCGGAGGTTTTCAAACTGTGATAGGTGTAAGAAGAACCTGCCTGAGAAACATCGCTGAATCTATTACACTTCCTGTTTACATCCCCTGACGTTCCAAAAGTCTTGATTATCTCCAAAATATAAGTAAGACAGAACAATAACAGGAGGGAAATCTATTAATATTGTCTGATTTAAACTGGAGTTTTGAATGTTTAACCCCTGTGCAGTACGTAACACTGCTGCTGACCAGTTCCGAAAGTACATAGGATTTTTCATTTTCTACCTTCCAGGAAACTGTGTGTTTCTTTAGTACAGTATAAATATCAGCTTAACAGAGACTTGAAACATTCTTGTGTTATCAGCATATGGTAATACAGCTGAGTGCAGGGACTCTTCCTTAGTGGTGCTTTCTATGAAGCTCAAACTTCTGAGATTCAGACGTCAGCTACTGATAAGCATTCACAAGCTCTACTGACAGGAAATCAACCCCAGACATAGAAATGGCGAACAAGAAAATGCCATTTCTTGTATTAAAAAAGGTTGGTAGTTTACATCATGGGTGTCTTCACAAGAAGGGTTTTCCCTACTTACACCTGCATATGTGATAATAATGTACCTGACAAAAAAATAAAGGTGACAAATTGTTCATTGTGATGGATTACCTTTCTCGAGCCTGTTTCCATTCTATGCATATTATTATTCATTGTTTATTGAAATAGGTCAAAAACAATGCCGGCCTGAAGGACAGGAAATTAATCTAAAACTATATGCATTGGTAATATAAATGACCGTATATTTGAATGGGTTAAACGTGCCTTATGGTCCTTTAAATGGATAAACAGTGAGGTTTAAAATGAAAGGTTAACGGGAAGGAAGCACACAGTAAACATGAATTCCATTGGATTATTAGCTACTTTAGCCCAACACCTTGCACTCACACAACTGAATTTGTATCTGCAGCAAAACATCTGGGCAATTGTGCAATTGTGAAAAATATTCACTCGCACACACATGCATGCTCACATGCTCATACAGTATGTGAAGCTGCATAGAGATAGCTGCAGGATGAGCAAATGAGGGCACTCAGGCAGGCAGGCAGACAAGCAGAGAACGAACTGACCTGCAGGCAATTTGTCTCCATGCCCTGGGAATGGCACACAGCATGACAGTGAAGGCACAGGCTGCAAGGGTGGAGAAGAGGCAGAGGTAGAGCACACCCTCCACGCCGTCATAGCACACCCCGACCATTGCATCCAGGTAGTCCTAAAGAAGTCAAATGCATAATGTCACATCAACAAAAATACACAAATAATTGTTTGCTCTTACTCTTACACACAAAATTAAGCAAAGGTGGAAAAGCACTCAGAGCGCTGGAGTGTGTTGTCTCCAGGAAGACATATACTATACATCTGCGTCAGGCACATTTAGAGGGATGTTCAACATTATTCATGTTAACTGCAATGCAGTCATGAGCCACAGTGTACAGTCTAAACAGAGCAGGGAACAATACATTAGAAAGAAAACACAGTTTAGAGAAGTGGATCTCGTTAAATTTCAAATTCTTTCTGTTGCTGCCTCGCTGTGCTCTCTTTCCAGTTCCAATTTCGGTTTGATGCCGAAATCCTGCGTGGCCACTTAACTCTCCTGTTGACCTAGTTGTGCTGCTGTGATGCCAATTAGGATGCAGTGAACAAACCTTGTTGAGCCCCCTGCAGTCCAACAGGGCAGTCAGCTGGTGCAGACTGGCCTCTGAGGAGTTGAGCAAATGCTGGATACCCAGCAGGTCTCTCTGTGGAGAGGTCATACAGCATATAGTATCACTGAGAAATACGTATTTATATGATACATTCCTTCTAATGTTATGCCTAAAATCTGTTATACTACAGCCTAAAAGTCATAGCTTGGTGCTTGTGTGTGTGATACCTCAGCTGTAGGGAACAGAGGCACAGCAAACTGCAGCAGACCCTGGATCTGGATCTGCATTGTGGTGAGGGACCTCTGGAAGATGGTTAGAGGCTGCGAACAAGAAAGTGCATTTGAACTGACACAGAGTAAAGATGATGCAAATGAAGAGTAAACACTGATCTTAATGGAAGTCTTGAGGGAGCCATCATAATGATAGAGAAAGCATACAGTTTAGAAAGCAGGCTCTGAAGGCTGTTTAATGGAGCTATTGTCAAATGACACAATGTGCATGCATTTTCTAAAGCAATTTGCAGACTTCTTGTCCTTCCACAAACGGAAAACACATGAATGAAAGCATAATAACCTACATAATGGATCTTATTTTTCTGTAATTTAATTTGTTAGTTTACAATCCAGATAAATTAACAGCAAAAACAACACGTGTGCCAGAGAGTTAGCCTTGAATGCTAATAAGAAACTCTAAAAGTCACAAAATAAAAAAAAACTATTTGTCACAAGAGAGTCAGTGAAAAGTATTTTTTGGACGTGGAAAGCAATTTATTCAATATGTGTAACAGACCCACCCCTCAAAAAGAAAAAGGTAAATGCTGGATAAAAATAAATGCTGTCCTAGACAATCTAAAGAGAGTATGAGCTATGCTAGTTAGCTTTTAGCAGGACTAGTTTATCTAGTGTTACTTTTTCCTCCATTGTGATGTAGCTACTGCATTGTATCATGTGGTAAACAACCTTAATTACTAAGACGGAGCATTTTTCAATAACAGGAAATAGATTTACCAACATGAAATAGTTGGTAAATTTGCTTCAGCTCAGGCTAGCGGAAGTGCTATCTTAAGCTAAAGCTTATTTTTAGCTTTAGCATTACTGTGGTTTAGTTTTTACCTTAAAGTCAGAATATGGTTGTAACTTAGTTTTGAACAGATATGTTACTATTTTCAAACTGCATATTCTTAGCCTTGGGCAAAGAGTTGGCTCTGGGATAACTTAGCCCCTTTCCACACACACATTAACCAGAATCAGAATCAGAATCAGAAATACTTTAATAATCCCAGAGGGAAATTATATAACCCAGGGTTAACCACGACTAGACAATTCCCACTGCACTTCCACTATCCCTTGGTTAAATGTCTGTTGGAACATGCGACTATGTTTACTGTAGCCCTGTGTTTAGTCGATTAAACTGTGGTTACAGTTGGGGTGTTAGCCCACTTTGGAATATGCAAGGATAGTGCCAGTGTGAAAACTTTCTTAACCTGGGGCAAATAATATTCTAAGAATGTTTTGAGCCCCGGGCTAAGTGCAGCGTGACAAGCCCTCATTTATCTCTTTGTAGGGCACTGAACTGATACAGAATATTATATTACCACATTACAGCATTCTGTAGTTTGAGTGTAGATTTATGTTCTCACCAACAGGGGGCAAAATAAGCCTCCACATTCAATAGCTATGATAAAGGGGGATAATCACATCCTACCTGAAAGACAGCGCCTCATGCCCCGTGCCTCTTTTTAAATTAACGTTCAAGCATAACCATAATTGAATTAATCTTGTCACATCTCCAAGGAAAAATTGTATCTTCACAGTCACCCAACCTAACAAGAGTAGCCTGGAAACCCCCAGGCCTGTGGCACAATGTTAAATAGAAACAGGGTATGGTCAATTACCTCAAACATCCATAAATGTAATTGCTTTCCTTTGATCTGACATTTTTTTTTCTGGATCTGCATGACTGTCCATGGTCAAAATGCTCTCTGCTGCACAATCCAATGGCCTGATCAGATTTGGCTTTTTATTTTAGCTTGGGTGAGCTTGTTCTGAGCCAAATAAAGTAGGACAGTGAAAGTTGATGGAGGAGGACAGTAAGAAAAAGAGAAGAGATGACAATGATAAGAATAGAAAAAGAGCTGCGGAAAGAACACAAGAAGTTGACACAGGAGTGATGCCCAGAGCAATGAAATACAAGGCCACAGAGGGTAGAACTACGGGGCACTGCTGTGGTTCTAAGAATACATGAGAGAGACAGTGAAAGAGAGGGACTGCTTGTATGTTTGCCAATCAGTGTGAATTTCTGTATCTGCCAGCTTGCTTGTGAACTTTGCACCTGTTGGGCGTCTGTGTGGCAGAGAAAGAGTGCTGACTTTGTTTACCAGGCGGGGTGACGGTTGCCTGCCCTCTGTTGCTGTGCTCTAGTTATCCTTAGGGCATGTCTACGAGAGCCAGATAATAAGATCTGAGCTCCGCTGGGCCAGAGCTCGCAGAAATTGACTTCACCGCTGTCAGCAATGTGGCCCACAATCCCTACTCTCCCAAGAGTAACCTCGCAGATAGCTCAGAAGAGGGGGGACAAGGCAGATTCACCAAATTGCTTCATTTAATCTTCAATTTTATAGCCCTTGTCTTGGCAGCTTTATAACATTCTGGCATGTTTTGGCTTGTTTGCTTGATGCATGCAGACGAAGGGGGGAGAAATACAGGAGAAAGAGAAAGAGAAAGAGAAAGAGAGAAAGATAATGGTGGCGGCCTGGGAGAAAGTGTTGTAACGTTCTTCTAGACTTGAGAGGTGAGGTTAGGATGTAAATTAGACTGACAGGGCTGAACAGGGAGAAAGAGCTTGACAAAGATGAGGCTTGAGGGGCAGAGAGATGAACTCCCCATCGAACAGTGATTTAGTGAATTACAGGTAAAAAAGATGTCTAGACTATTGGTTAAAAGTGAACAAACTTTTAATTGTTTTAGAGTTTTAAAACATCTAGGGTTACATAAACCATTTTTTCGACAACTTCACAGGGAACTGCACCACATTTAAATATGGTAAGTATGAAACAAAGGCGGTGAACTATAGTCAGAATTTTGAGTTAATTAGAATTACTTGGATTTTTTTTTACATTTTATTTAATCAGTTAACTCTTCACTGTTCACTTATATTCTGGTACAGAAATTCAGTCCTTTATAGAGCTAGGTATCAAACCTTAATACACTCTTAAGTACTGACCGGAATGTATCTAGTATCCATGACTGTTATGTATCAAATTTGGTCCTTCCTTAGTCCTTCCCATCCTTTAAGTATTGCAATCTGCCTATAAAACACCCACTGTGTGGGGTGTAAGTTGTGAATTGTAGAATGTTATTTCCCCCCCCCAATTCCAAGAAACCTACCACATTGTCCTCAGTTGTAGCTACGGCTCTGTTTATAGACGCCTACATGTTGAATGTTGAATGTTGAATGCTGAATTTTGAATTCTAAATGTTGAATTTTTTAACTCCAGGTCAGCGGAGTGTCCTGTTTCCTACCTGCTGGAAGGGGTTGGAGAGAGTCTGGTTGCAGTAAAGGTAGTAATGAACAATATCTGTGAGAGAAACATAAACAGATAGGAGAAGCAGATTAAATGCATTTCCAACCATCATTTTAATTAAAGCACAATTAGTCTCATGGCCACAGCTTTACGCTGTCACAATTACAACTCCATTAATGCAACGTTATTCACACTGAAACTCACCAGCACCGATGATACCCTTTGTTTGGCTCAGGAGGTACTTGTCAGGGGACACACAGAAATCACTTGTGCCCTGAAATAAAACAGGAGACGTGTGAGAGCAGTGAACAGAAAATAAAGAGAGAAAAGAAAGAATGGTTCTTGAAATAAGATGGTTAAAAAGAAAATTCATGAAGAACCATTCAGAAAGGGAATGAATTAGAGTGTCAAATACTAAGTTACTGACATTAATAGTTTATTTAACACTGAATGTTTTTTTTGTCAAAGCTGAATAATAATGATGACTATCATCCTTATCACTTTTTGACACAAAAAGAAAATAAAGGGGACAGGCTGCTCTTATAATCCTCTTTAACATGTCTAGACAGGAATACTTTCCCATTCTGTCACTCACAGCCACTTTTATTTCACTGCACCGCGCTAACAAGAAACCTGCCTTGGCAAAATAACAAAAGTGAGGAGCGGTGGTCTCCTCCGATCTGTGCTGTCTGAATGTTAAATGTCCCCTGGGCTCAGGACAAACACAGTCCGTGTAGCTCAACCTCCTCAAGGGGGTGCGCTAATGAGCCCTGCGCACGGATGAGATAAAGCAAGCCGAGTTCCTCTGCAAAACCCGAGCTGGTTTGTTAGAAACGAGGGACTCCGAGGAGCTCTGCAATTCAGGAGCAAGTTTGTTAGAATTCCTGAAGGGAAAACAATGATTCTCTGAGAATGCAGAGTTCTGATTACCCGCTGACTGTAATTAAGAGTTTGCGAAGGGGGTTCATTCATTATGCATTCGTTTATTATGAAGGCTCTAATGCAACTGTATGATGCCTACGCACACACAACTTGAAGATTCCGGTGAAGACACAAACATCTGCAGCCAGTCGAGCGTCTCATATACACATCTGTCAACATAGACTGTAGCACACACGGAGATCCTCAGAATGACAAATATAATCTCCACAAACTAATACACCACACTGGAAGGCAGGTTTGTTATTCCCCTAGATGTGGTGGTTGTCTGACATCATTAGGGCACAGCAACAAAACTCGTTCTCATTTAAAGTGGGACACAGCAGACTGGCAAACACATTATCACAAGTTCAAGCCTCAGTCAGGGCAGTAAGGGTGAAAAAAGCATTTCAGTGATTTTCAACCATTTTCGGGTGCCAGTAGTGTATTTGGGCTACGTGATGGCTAAGTGGTTGCTGGCCTGTTCTCCCTGCTTACAAACAGGTTTCCAACAGGTGCTTTGCTTCCCCTCGACAGTCCAAAACCATTAAAGCCAGTAGACGTGGAGAGCTACCCACAGGTGTGAATGTCGGTTTATTTTAGCCCTGCAATGGACTGATGACCTGTCCAGGCTTTCCTACAGTCTGCTGCCCTTGAAAGCCCCCAGAAATGAATGACTGACTGTGAAAGAAAATGGACAACTGGCATTTATATTACACATCAAGCCGTGGGTCTGAGTTAAACCATTACTGAAGAAATATGAAGTAAAGTTTATTTATAAGAGATTTGAGCTTGAGGTAAACAGAAATCTTTCAACGTGATTCACAATTCCACATCAGATTTATGTTTTCTCAGTATGACTAAAGCACTTCCAGTCCATTAATCCATTATTCTGCTGGCAGAAAATGCATTTTAATTAATTAAGTGCATTTTTGATAATGGATTAAGCATGTAAGTCACTTATGAAACATAAATGCCAACAATTCACTGTTTCCAGCTTCTGAAACGTGTAGATTTGCTGCTTTACCCTGTTTCATATACATATGTATCTATATATAAAGACAATTTTGAAGACATCACCTTGGGCTGGTCGTGAAAGTTGTGATGCCTTCATGGTGACAAAAAAGGTTAGTCAGGGTTAAGGTTTAGGGTTAGCACCCTAAGGGGCAATTTACCACATATTATCCACTGGAAGGGAACTCTAGAGGGCACTTTATCATGCTTTATCTACCATAGGGGCGTCCAAGAGGAAACTTTTGCACACACTCTAAACTCCTGTAACAATACTTTTTGCCCAACTTCAAACAAATCCCCCCATATACACACACACACACACACACACAGAGGCCTGTACCTCGTACATTTCCGAGGACACGGCAGTTGAAGATTGTTCATGTAATTGCTTGGCTCACAGCCGTTTGTATCCCTGCCTGACCAATTATCAGGCCTTTTCAAGCTGTAGTGATGTTTGCTTTTAAGTAGAGAAAAGGCTGAGTGGACGTCACCCAGTCCAGTCAGGGTCACCACGTACCAGACAGGTTACGTAATGTAAATGCCATGGCTTTGCAACACGCACTGAAGAGGACAGTGATTTCTGTAAAGCAATTGCTGTAAAGCCACATCATTCATCAAGTGCAGGTTTAGAACAAGGGGAGAGCTGAAGAGTCACAGCTAACTTTTGATGACCCCCCCTGACCATTTTTTGTCAAGCTAGGTCAACATTTTCCCTTGACACACAACAAAACAAAACCACGACAAAGCATTTAGAAAAATATTGATTGCTGTTGATATTCACGGTCCCTTAAGAGTGGATCGTTATATTTTATTTCCCTGACCTACCATGAAATGTATTGGATTCTTCAGGCTCCTTAAAGGGACACCCTCAGCCCAAAGTTTCAAGTTTTTATTGAACATTTGTGAATATTTATGTTCCCTAGAGAAGGAACCCCTTTTGATTTTGGTGATCATATTTCCTTTCCAATAGCAGGACTGTTAAAGCTATATTTCCACCTGCACACAACATACTAAATGTCACTGTGTAGCAGAGTAATGGAACTGTATCTGTATGTCTGTATTGTGCAGTGTACTGAACACTGCATGCTTGCAGGGGTTTGGACTGGGAGTCTCAGTTTACTTGTGTGTCATCGCACTCGAATCACAAGGAATCCGCCATTAATCCAGCAAATGTAGACCACAGAGTGCAGACCCATACAGAAGACATTAAGACATTAGCAGATGAAAAAGGAAGATGAAACCAGAGACTAATGTGTTGTAACTGATCGCACCCCCTGCTGCTTTCTATGCTCATTATCTCGAACTTAAATTCACACATGTTCACAATCCTCTGCAGCCTCCAGTCAAAACACAACATCCAACAACCAACCTGAGAAAAATAGCACACATGCCCGAGGCAGGTGAGTCAAACACCACTGCTCATCCATCTGATCTTCATTCTTTCAAATGTATATCTCTGTTTTCAAACATCACTCTAATTCTTACCCTATAGGTCATTTTTTTGTGTGGGGACCATAATAGAGAAAAACACTGAAATTATTCACTTGTTCAGCATGATAGGCTTTGAAAGCTGCCATTTGATTCCTGTTGTTATAATCCTTGACTTTGAATCAAGTTATTCAAGCTTGTATAATGATGCTGACAAGGTGTGAATTTGGGATTTTGTTCTTTTGTCGGTCTATTTTTGGTGGCGCGCCGTGTGACAGCGGAGATCAAAAGCGTATGAGGTGACAGAAAGACAAACTAAGATCAGAAAAATTAGAGACTGGGCAGTGAGAACAGATTTTAGATGACACTGCATGGCTGTGAGGTCTCTTTCTAGCTGATACACATTTTACTAAGAATAATTTAAACTTGATTAGCAGCTATGATTAGCTAGCTAATACATGCAATATTTTGGATAAAAAAGCTTCATTAAAATGCAACCAATTTTATATTTTAGCATAAAGGTGCAGATGGATCAGAGTTTGCTGTGCTGTGATTACTAACAGTTGTTTTCCATCCTTTTATAATGCCACATTGCAGATTTTTTTTAGATGCATATAAATACACATGCAAGTATATGCACATATATGCTGCAGTATATAATCATCTATTCTCCCTTACCCTCACCCACTGAAAGACATTTTTCAAGTGCAGTGTGCGTGTAGTTAAAGCAATTCATCACCACTGTCGGTGATGACAAGAATTGATAGCAGACCAGTTTATACTAGTTTATATTGGGGTAAGCCAGTCAAGTGAGGTGCGAGGAAGCAAAGCAGCTCACCACAGCAGTGGCCAGGTCAGCTCCCAGGGAAGTCCAGCTCAGGACCAGCGTCAGCACTCCAAAAACCATCATCCTGCAGGGACACAAGGCAACAGCAAGGTCACAGTGCTACTCAGTGCAATAATCATTAAGTCAAATACAGATTAACTTAGGCTTCAGCAACCAGGACACGATGGCTTGGTAAATCTGGCCATTTATCCAAATGAAGTAAAGCCTGTCATTTGCCCAATTGAGACACAATGATTAATGATTTACATCACTTGTCCCACTTTTCAGTAAGTTCTGCAATTTGCAGTAAATTCTCTCCTACAATTTGTATTGATTAAGAGAGAGGCACTTTTTCTCTCATCATTAGAAAATTGGAAGAGTACCAAGTGTCTGTCATTTAAACCTGCAAAAAGCTTAGCTTTTTGGTGGCAGCAGAAACAAGTTAAAAACACAACAATGACATATCATCACCTTTTATCGTAAACATGTTAGCAAACAGATGCTTATTAACAGGTATGAAGCAACATTAATATTCATTTTACATTGTGTTTGTGTCCACCTAATAAATTTTAAGTCCAACATTCACTCGCTTTTCACTCTATTCCATCATTTTAGCTGCTAAATGCTCTACTAGGTTCATTGGCTAGATGCTAAAGTGGTCTCCCTGACTTTTGATGATGAGCAGGTAGCAAATAGTGGTTTAATTTAAAGGACCATTGTGTAGGCATCTATATTTGCAGCTAGTGGTGAAGTTGCAGATTACATTCCCCTCACCTCACCCTCCCGTTCCAGATAATTTGTGAAAGTCCCCGTCTATAGCCAGTGAGCAAATAAGTGAAATTTTGTTAGTATAGTTATCAGCATCCTGCAGAGGGAGTACAGTGACGCAAATAGAATTATTCTCATAACAGCCTCTGCTATTGAAAGGAAACAGCATGAGCCCCGAGGGCCAGGAGTGGTGATCTCATTGGCAAGTCATTAACAGAAAAAGTCAGAGGTCATGGTTATTTTCTATGGAAGTTGATTCTGCAGCCTTAATGTGGCTTTATGAACCGAGGAACGAGCATCGGAGTATATCTGCTCCGCTGGCCTACATTCGATTACAGCCCCCTGGGTGGAGGGCTGCTCCCTACACCCATGAGGACAAAATAATGTGGTTTTGTTATACAGTGGGTTCCCTCCCTGATGATCTCATAGTATCAGAAAATGACATCAGAGTCACTTGACAATGAAGGGAGAGCAATTGGAAGATCTTGGTGAGCATTTCTGCATGCAGGGGTGATGTGGCGGTCTGTGTGTATACAATGAGATAGGAGATCAATACCCATTAAAAGATGAAAACTGGTCCTATCATAGATTAGCTCTCGTTAGGTGAAATAATTTCCAGAAAATCCAATAAACTCCTGTTTATTTGACCATTGTGACACTTTCCCGATATTCCCCTTACAGCATGTCACCTGAGTTTAAATATAATTTAGGTATTCATATCCAGGCCTTGTCCATCTTTCAGCAGTCTCCAGCTCCCTGGCTAATCCAATTCAAAATGTGCAGAGAAGATACTAAACTCCCAACGTTGAACTTACAAGCCACCACTTGTCCTTACTTATTCATCCTTTATCTTCTTTCCCCAGTTCTTTACTCACTCTATTCCCTCACTCCTCTCTCCCCTATCTTTTCTCTGCCTTCTGCCTCCCTCGTTATCAGTTTTTCACTGTTGTAGTCTGTCTCCTTCTCTCTCTGAGATACAGAGCCCTCACAAGCCCTGACTTCGCAAAGTCTTATCTTGATTTAAAATTAGAAAGCAAAAGTTGCTCTACTGTTTTACTGGTTCAGTGTGGTTTAGCACAGTAATGTCTATATGTAGCTGTATACAGTTACATAGAAAGTTACTCAGTATCTTTTCTGAGAACAATACACGAGTGCCATGAATCTTTCTGTACATTGTTTTTACTTATTTAGTTTGTCTACTACTTCCTTGTCTATGATAGTGTTTCCCAACCTAACCTGTCTGCCAAAGAGGCCCCAAGATAAATCTATGGTATAATCAGAAATACAGAATCAGAAGAAGATGATCAAAGGGATAAAAAAAAAAATCTGTTCTGTTTATTATTCTGACTTTTCTCTAATTGATTCTCTTTATCTTGTGGAATACTGAATACTGTAACCTCATCAGGCTTCTAAAAGCCTTTCAAACAAAACAAACTGAGCAGGAAAATCCCTCTTGGGTTGAACTGCTTTGTTTATAAAAGGTCATAAGCCAAAGGATGGGAACCATTGGCCTATGTGTCTGCCAGGCCATTCCTATTTGACAGTTTGTTGTTATAGGGTGCGTGATACTGGACTGTGTGAGCTTCTTTAACTGTGACACTGGGGCAAATGGGAGAAATGCCCTCTGATCGACTCCTCTGAACCGGCAGGTCACATCCAAACTAAGCGAGACTGTGTTTAATTTTGTGCTTCGGTGGGTAAAGGGGATTCACTGAGTGGCAGAATACCAGGAAATCGGGTGTAAACCTGATGCAAAGCACATCAAGTGAAAAAGTCAAGGCCAATGAGCAGGGCAAATGCACTCACAAAGGATGAGGTCAAGTCATTCTGAATTAAATCAGTGGGTGAAGATTTTCTTCTTAACTGAAAATAATGAAATCTTTTGCTGCAAACCGCTGTTGTATCCAGTCTGTACAAAAGATAGGAAAGTGATGGCTCTATACAGCATTTATAAACCATCATTTTACCGTATGTGACAATTTAAACCGAGTGAAATGAAAGCGATGTGACCCTCAAAGCAAAAATGCGGGGGACATGGGAACATACTACCTATGGCAATTAGCTTGTCATAATAATGAACGTGATTCTCTCAAGTTAGTTGAACAATATTATATTGTGTTGAGCAAATCATAACTTTCTCAAAGATTGCCTTTGATGTGCATATTTCTTAACTATCAAGATAACTTTCTCAACAACACAATCATTACTGGCTTGTATGCTGACCAAATATTAAGTATATTATGTATAGAAGTAATTGTATCCTTGTAGTATCACTGTAGAGCATTACAATCTTTTGAATAGCTTGAATAGCGGCAGTTTTAATAAATCATCAAACAACCTGCCTCTCATCTTGAGTTTTTCAAATCAACAACCTGCTGTGACCTGGATTTGCAGCTATTCAACCGAAGCCTACCTCTCCTGCTCTCAATGAATATTAAAGAACTGTCATCTCCATACATATGAACTCTGTACTTCGCACACTGTGTTGGAAGATCATTCCATAAACTGTATATATATTCAGAACTTCAAAGGCCCAAGTACACTTCCCTGTGGCACACCATAAATACATAAGTCTAGGAAAGGAAATTTTGAGCTGAAAAGGTTGGCTTTGTAGAAAGTTGGTGGGTTAACAGAGTTAGTAGGTGGCTTTATGTTTTTTTCAAAACATATTTGCTGTTGCAAATTTGTAGTACATGAAAGTATGAGAAGTCTCAAGTAATCTTCTTGGCTTTTATTTTAATCAGTTCAGTTATCTGGGTTTAAAAGTACCTTCTTGTATAAAGTACAATACTCTTATTGAGGAAGCACATATTTGATAAACAATCTACCTTCCAACTGGTGGAAAACTAGTTGATAAACTCCATTTCCCCAGGCTTATAGAGTGTTACTCTCTTGATCCTTTGGACATGTAAAGTTACCTGAACTGCTTTCAGATAACCTCAGAAAAACTGAGGAGCTTTGGAGTTTTCTTCTTCCAGGCAGTAAATATATATTTGTTCTTCACTTTCCAAATGACCAATTCTGTGATTTTGTTTCGTTATAGTTTCAGAGGATCCCGCTCACTGGCATTGTTTGTTTAAATGACAATTCTTTTTGGTTCTTGCTCATGACAGCTCTAATTATTCCAGTCCTCCGGGAAGAGTTTCCTCTCTCCTTTTACTTTTTTCTGCATGAGGTGAACATGAATCTTGCAATCCATGACACTGAGCTTGGGAACGGGCCTATGATGTATTTACATCATGACATTTTAAGGTTCAATTCACCCAATAGATGCTGTGTTATTTACTCAGGTTTTAAGATGTCAGTTTCTGAGAGGTGGCTGGAAAATTTGTTTGCGGTGGTGAAAGCTTCAGCAACATGAAACAGGAACAGGACGAAAAAGAAATCCAAATAAAATTTGCTGACAGCGAAGTCTATGGATGTCTCTCCCTCTCTCACACGTGGGCGTATCTTCTTGTCTAAGCTGTTACTGTGTGTCATGCTAACTCCGACAGCCAGTTATAAGCACCAGGAAGAGTCGGTAGGCCCCCAGAGGGTAATCTGCTCCTGAAAGCCTCCAACCACTTCCACTCTACTGGAAGAGAGCATGCCTTGGGAGGGCAGACGCTCTTGACACTGACTCATCTTGTGTGTGCAGAGGGGGTGGGAGGATGAAGTGGGGGTGGGTTTGTGGTTAGTAGAGCAAGTTTAGCGTAGCTCACACCCTGAACTGACTGATTGAGAGAGACAGAGTGACGCTCGGCTGGATGAATGGAGGCCCGGGTGGATTTCATGCCCTGTGAAAGCTTCTTTACAGCGTGCAAAAAATTTAATAAATAAATACAAAAATGAGATGAATACACTTAAGCTATAGATACTGTAAGGAGATTAAATGAAAGCGGAGGCATTGCATGGATATGTACCAGTATTTCCCCTAGGATATTTTCCAGCAGTGGTGCTAAAGTGTGTGAGTTTTATTTTGCTTCTGCCAGAATATATTTACCATGTCAGCTGACATGAGAAGGGCTTTAGACACATACTGTATTTGTACACAGTTATAGATGTCAAATAATGTTTAATAAAATGCTTCAAGACCTCTGGTGGTTGGTCTCTCCTGTACTTCAGCTCTTTTTCCATACTTTTCTGTCTCACCTCTACTACATGTCATACTGTCTAATAATAGAATACATGAAGTAAAGAAGAGTATAATCAAATAATTCCTACTAGGCATTTTAACATTTCACAAACAGGAGATAAAATACCCGCCCCCTTTCTGTGTCATCTCTACGTCTTTGCTAAACTTTGTTGTAATAGGTAGCAGGTAGCAGGTAGCGGAGCCTTCGCTGCCGCCAGCTGCGTGGTGAGCCATCAATAACCAATAACAGACTGCTAAAAGGTGGCAATGTCAGGGGGTGTTCGATTTATAATCCTCACTCGTCCCTTGATTAAAGCAGAGACAGCAAGTTCATTGTGATCACGTGTAATATCATCTTTCAGTGTAACATGTATTATGAGTTGAGTGTTTTTATGCCATAATTCTGTCATACTAACATCATGTTTTCAGTGTTATTTCTTGAACTTCCTGCCCCACTTTAAAAGCCTAAAAAAACACTGAAATATATTAACGATATTATTGTTTCCTATATAGGGGACGTTATTATGATCATCAATATTTTTCTTATGTTTAGTTATGTTTTAATATAACCTACATATGCTTTTGTTTCTTTGTTTATCTTGTTTTCTTGTCACTCATGGAAGGTAAAGTCAATAAAATATTAATCTGATAAAAGGCCTAAAAATACAAAGCTGAATAATTAATGACATGCCATGCCGGATATACAGTATGTTGTGTCTTTTAACAAATTCACGTCTGGAGCCATTTACAGCAAGTCAAGTGTCAAACTGGAATAACAATCGTGAGGAAGTTATATTGTTGATAACATCAAATGAGTTCGCTCCAATCTCTCCACAGCTCTCCAAACCAATTTGTAGAGCAAAGCTATTGAGACGGCAACACCATGAGCAAGTTCAACCTACCGCTGGCAACGCTACAAGGCAAATGCTGAAATACAACAGGACAATCAGGGCAGTGTTTGTACAAGGACGTGATCCAGTACTACTACTGCCTCGTTCACTGGCAATTTCCCATGGGAAGAAAAGCAACTCCTGCTTCCAGCTCCCTCTGTCTACTCCAACTCATACTAATTCTAAACAAATACTAAATGTATCATATCTGTTGTTCCTGTTCGGTATTAAATATTAATGGAGAGCACAGCATGGATTATGTTGCACTCGTAAGTGAAAATTATCTTCATCAGGATAACAAGATGTGGATGAGAGTGGTTGTGGTGTTAGAAAATAATTGTGTAATTTCTGAAACTTTCAGCCTCTTAGATGCATCTAGCCTTTAATATCTACATGAAGTAAAGTAAATGCATCTAGCAGTAACAGGGAGAAAAGTTTGATATGGTTTTGGCCATGAGAATGTACAAAGAATAATCTAGTGTTTGAGTTGGAGAAGTGAGCATTTTAATACATTGTGCACCTTCAGGTTTCATGTTGTAACATTTGGTTTGTAGAAGCTGCTGCAGCACTAATGTGACAAAAAGAAAATATATTTTGTTTCCATGTTGTCTCTGAGTTAGCTTTGATTTACTTAGTCTGCTAATCTCCCAATCCACCCCTTCTGTCTTATATCCTGCCCATGCCTCTTCCTTCCTGTTGTGCAGGATATGAAAATCATTCAGCATAAAATGGAACAGATTGTATTTTTTCTTTGTAAACAAAACAAAAAAAAAAAGCTCTTGTCTTTCTAAATAGCTCAGTTTTACAGGGCGTATTAGACTTACGTGGTAAGCAGCCAGCGAGACTGCTTGGCCAGCCCCAGACAGGCCAGCAGGCAGATGATCAGGTCCACGATGAGGAGCAGCAGGTAGCTGAGCCACCTGCAGACAGACAGAGACAGAAAATTAAAGTACTGCTGGTGAATACATGTTTTGGCAAAGTAAGTACGTTCTGGTTGCATGTATAACCTGGGCCTTATTAGTGTCGTTTTTTGCCATCATTCTCATCAGTATAATAGAAGGCTTATCACTGTACTCTAGTTTATTAACTGTTTAGCTAAACCTCCAAACAGCATTTGTGCAATCATATCTTAGCAACTGTAACAAGGCACAGCAGGTCTGTCCATTTATGTATTCCTCAACATGCTGAAGCTTGCTGTCTTCTTTTATCACCTTTACAAAACCAAAAACATAAGTCCAAACGTGTAAGAAATAAACAGTGTTTTTTAATCTCAAGCTGTTAGCATGCCCTGCTAAATAGCTCACTATAACCTAATGATGTAAAGCCCTTTGACCTTAAGGACCAGTGTGGAGCATTTAGTGGCATCTAGTGGTGAAGTTGCAGATCACAACCACCTGAATACCACTCTCCTTCCAAGTGTGTAGGAGAAACAACGGTAGCCGCGAACTCATGAAAAACGCAAAAAGCCTTATCTAGAGCCAGTTTGTGGTTTGTCCATTCTGGGCTACTGTAGAAACATGGCAGTTCAACATGATTCTGTATAAGAGTACCCGCTGATTCTGTAGATAAAAACAGCTCATTCTAAGGTAACGAGAACACAACGATTCTTATTTTCAGGTGATTGTACACTACTGGAAACATACCTATGAATATTCTATTCCATTTCTATCAATAGATTCTCCTAAATTTTACACACAGGACCTTTAAAAACTGACTTAGAGAAAAAACAAGTGGGAGTGAGAAAACAGAAGGGGAGAGTGTCCCACTTATTTTCACCTCAACGGACGTATGCAATAGCTGTCATCTGAGGTGTGTGTAAGTGTTTGTTGGTGCTTGAGGGTATACTCCTGTCCAGTATTGCCCTCCTCAGTGTGTCCATCTGTTATGTGAGCAGTGGTCAGTCTGTGACCGGACACAGAGAGGCTGTCCAGATGGTTAATAATGAATGGACTAAAATCCATATGGCTGAATGTTGTATGCTGTGAAAAAGACTAGAGGGAGGTGCAGTTAGGTGCTAACCTTTTCACTCTGATCTATGGATCTGTACATCTCATCAAAGTCAGCAACTTTTTTACATTTCATCTTAGTCAGTGTTCATCTCCCCCTCTTTTTTTCCATCATTCCAACTGCACTCATAACTCTTACATCATACCCATTTCCTACATTCTTTTCTTTTTAATCATTTCTTTTATTTCCCATCCATCTGTGTCTCCATCACTCTACAGCATCCTCCCCACATCTCTCATGCTCTCCACTATCTTTCGCTTTTTTCCTCCTCCTCCTCCCTTTCACTCTCTTTAATCTCCCTCCTCTCTGTCTCTTTCCCCTTCAGCCCCTTTTCTCTCCCTTGCCCTTCTCTCCCTCTGCACCACCACCACCACCTCCCTGCTATTTCTTCCTCGTTTCATCTTTTCCCCCCTTGGCAGGGTACAGTACAAGAAGCTGGGACATCAACATGCACATGGGGGCTCTCGGGTGACACTGCCACCGTGTTTGTCTGTGTTATCTTAATCCAATTACAGTCAAACTGAATACAGCATAGAGACACGTAGGGATGGGGGGGTTACATTTATGTATAATAGAGAAGTACATGTCCTGAAGAAATTGTGTCAGATAGCAGAAAGCAGTTACAAATGTGCTAGCTTCAATTCAAAAGGTTGATCATGATAATAGTAATGGCACTTTATTCAACCTCCCTCAGAGAGAGTTCAGAGTTCATTCACTTTACTTACTACTGTATTCTGGAAGGCAGAATCTACATTTTAGATAGCTAAGTGCTTGCAGACCATTCAGGCTGAAGAATGACCTCTTTTCCACCCAAAGTAGATCTTTTAGAAGGATCTAAAGCTTTTTATGTTACATTTCACCATCTTAGTGGCCTAAATTGCAAAGTAGGGATATAATATAATCCCAGCAACCCTTAATTAAGATGAAGGATCTGTTTCACCAAATGAAATTCTCTTGTTGGGTACGGATAGAACATTTCTCCCACTAAACAAACTGACAACAAAAGTCCTGGCTTGTAAACATGATTGTTTATGTGCAGCTTACACGTGCCCAATCAATAATCTCTGGGTATTGTCCTTCAAACGGACACTTAATCTTGTTAAGTGTTTCTAATCTATTTTCCAGATGTCATTTCTAACTCTGTTGTAATGCAATTTATTGGAGAAATTGAGAGTAGCATAGCATAACACTTTTTTTTAACAAAGTCACAAAGAAATCACAATTTGCCTCAAGGGATTTTAACAATCCGTACAATATTCAGCACCCTCTGCCCTTAGGTCCTTGGGGTAAGGAAAAACTCTCTGACAGAAGTAGCTGTGCAACTTGTGAAAGGAGTTCATTCCACAGTTTAAGTGTCATGACAGCAAATCTACACTTACAAACTCTTAAAAAGGTGTTACAGAATCAAAAATGTGAGTGTTTCTGTCTAAAAATGTATGTATTTAAATGTACGTATAGGGGGGAAATTAGATGAATGCATAACAATGGTAAGAGTCTGTTCGCATTGGACCCCTAATAAAAGGAATGTGGGACAATTCCTGGAGTGAATGTTGGCCCAGATCAGCGCTCTGTGTTTATTCGTGATCGGGTAAAGTAACATGACAAACAACTGAGAGCGAGTTAGAAGAGTAAACAAAAATATTCCAGGATGAGTTAGATAGACAGCCAACTTTAATACAACAATACTTAGACTTTGATAAGCCCCTAAAAAAAAGCACACAAAGACACAAACAAACGCCCGGCTGCGCACAAACTATTTGTTGTGGGCTGACAAGTGATAATGAGTCCATTAACAGCTTACAATGTCTGGCTGTCTGCTCTTGGTCTGCCTACTCTATTAGCGGGGACCTATGTGGGGTATTGAATTATCGACGGAGCAGAGGAGTCACATTACAGATCAATACACACACACCAGCCTCTCCATAACTGCAGACTCACAGAAATACTCATCAAGCCTACACAAGGACTAAAAAAATTGGCTATGAGCCTGTTTCTGCTCTACGATGGTAAGACTACGAGTTTAACGTCAATGAGACAAGACGTTGGATAATAGTCCTTAACATAATGTAGTTGTTAAGAAGCAGTGTAAGTGTGTAAGTGTGCAGTGATTGCTAATGATTTAATACGATCCCACTGAACCACGTCTGCAACCGACGTATTCACATAAGTGGATGATACACCACATGCAGCCACATTACTCCCTCCCATCCACTAAACACCATGTGATATATTCAGGTCATAACGTGCAAAATGTAACTACCTACACATGAATTATCTATTTAACTGCGTGTTCGGCTGACAAATTGCTCAGGGATTGACTGCAGCCATAAAAGACACACAATGTTATAAGCTTAAGTGTATTATCCTGCATCTAAGAAGTAAATATATCTATTTTTTACTTTGGTTTGTAGTATTTATATATGACCATAAAAGTTTGATCCATCTTCCCTCATGCTTAGATGTCCTCCCAAATAAACTGGCACCATCATGGTAATTATAGAACAGCTCACAACTGATTTGCATTTAGAAATGCATGTGTAAATGTTTGCCTCCCACCAAATTGTGGGTGTGCTATATCCTTGAAAATATTCATGCCAACAATAAACAACATTTAAAAAATCCACATCTGAATCTCATTTTTTCCTCTCAGCTCTTGATGGATTCTATTTTTGGCAGTTCTCTCTACATTTGACTAGAAACCTGCATCATATAGTGTCCCCAGCATTGTGCTCCTGGCCACCCTGCACTGTACAAGCCAGACACATGTATTTTTCTGTTCCTCACCTGTAGTACTCTATGTTTGCCGTTTGATCTGCGATAGATGCCAGGTCCACTTTAGCCTCTTCCCAGTCAGGCAAACCAAGCAGCTGTTTGATCACGTTGTCAGCCATCTGCTGCATGAACTGCAGGGTCTGCACATAGTCGCCCCGCGTGGCAAAGATCTCATCCAGCCTTGCGAGGTGCTGGTGCAGGCCACTTTTCATGCTGCCCATGGTGCCAGTCACCTGGAGGGCACAAGAGGAGGGGGAGGGGAGGGTGAGATGATGATGGTATAACAGAACTGAGTTTGGGAGTGAAAAATCATTCACGGGTATCAGTTTATGCTTACCAAAAATCTACAGCATCAAATTAACATATTTTGCTTAATGTGTAGGGGATAATGAGTTTGGGTATGTGTGTATTGTATATCCACAAGATGAATCCTACTGACTTTGTGAATCCCTAGACTTTTCATCTAGTGCCACCAACAGATCAAACTCATTGTTTTGTCCAATACTTTGGTTTATACCCAAACACCTGCAAAACTAATGCCATTCTCATCATTCTCAGTTGTACTTTGTATTATTGCTATTGAACAAATGTTAGCATGCTAACACACTAAACAAAGATGTGGTAAAGATTATAACTGATTAACTTCAACATGTTAGCATGGTTACTATTAGTATGTTTACATGCTGATGTGCATGTGCTTGTGTCAATCCACTACTGGACCAATCAGTGTCTTGACGAACTACTGGCAGCTACGGCATGAGCTACGGGCGTGGAATAATGATAGGTGTGTGACGACGTGTGAGTTTTTGCTCAAAAACAACAATGGCGGCTGCTAAAGAAGTTATTGTAGATGGTGCCACCATCAGTTATATCAGATCTGGAGAGTATTTCTTCATCGAAGGAAGAGAACAGAACAACACTGAAGGCTCTTCTTGATCGAAAAGATGTTTTCGCTCCTCTCCTGACTGGCTTCAGTGAGAGTATGACCACGTTATGCGGTTCGTTGATCTGACCGAAGTTCACTCATGAATTGATTTTCCAAGCAGTTTCCAATGGAGACTTCCCAGATGGTTCTGTGTAGCAAACAATCTGGTGCAGTCAGGTTAGTTGATGTTGGCATTAAGATCAAAACACTGATGTGTCAAAGCACAGCCTCACAGAGCTGCCAGCATGGCTCACATGAAAACTAATTTATTCAAAACTCATGACCTAATTAACTGAATTCATGAGGCATAATAATGCATTGGTAAGTAACATAATTGTTGATTGAGCACCATTCTGGTAATAGCAAGTTTTTATACCAATAAACCAGTTGGAAGAGATAATATGTTTTTATTTCCTCTATCTTTCTACTGAAATAATCATGTATCGACAGACTTTTCTTAGAGCTCAGCACGGCACAGAATCCTGCTCATGTGTGGGTGCCTTCGGTCAACTTTTCTGCCAGAGAAAGTTTCCCAAAAAAGAAAGTGGCCAAAGGTGAGATTAGCCTAAACATGAGGCTGGTCTGTGCTGCCAATCAGCAGCGGAGCAGAGAGAGGGACAGGGTGGGAGAGTTGGAATACTGAGTGTGGGTGTTGGTGAAGAGGTCCATTTTGAGTAAACAGTTCACCTTGGAAACCAGCCAAAACTAGAACGCCCAGAGGTGAAATAGTAGGTTTGCTGGCGCTGGAGTTTTATATTCCACAACTGCTGTTCTTTGTCAGACTTTTTTTCCAAACTGATACCTTACTAATGAGACCAATAGTTTGTTTACTTGTTTAAGCCATGTAATCATATAGCAACTAATCCATTCCCCAAGGGGAAATGTGATCCTCTCAGGCAAACAACAAACAAAACAGGCTCGACCATTTATTTTTACACATCAGATTTTTGCCTTGTTGACCAAATACAGCAAGACCAGATTGTATGTGAGGAGCGAACATCTCCTGTACAGGCGCTACCCATTTCCTTGGATTTAATTACTCTGTGTCTTGCTTGAAGGGAGAAGTTGTTTACAGGGAAATGGCATTCACCGAGACATCCTGCTATTTGATAATTAAAAAGGGTAATAAATGCTTTCATTCAGCTCTGGGTACTTGGCATTCACAGGAGCGAAAACTCATATTGTTGCTGTGTTTGTCAGGGATGGGGTTTTGCTAAAGCTGAGGCGAGAAGAGGTTGGGTGGAAGTAATTAGATGGGTTGGTATTCAACGTGCGGCCCACACTAGACGGCTGCAAATGAGTCTAGCCACCCTAGCGGCTCTGTGAGGCACAGTGCTTTGAGCTAAATGCTATGCTAACAAGCTGATGTTTAGAAAGTTATATTTACAAGGTTCATCATATTAGTTTAGTTTGTTAGCATGCTAACATTTGCTAATGAGCACTAAACACAGAGTACAGATGAGGTTAATGGGAATGTCATTAGTTTTGGGAGGTATTTCATTATCATTATTACATGTCATTAACCAAAAATGTACAAATATTAAGACATTAAAGTTTGATCTAATGACGCCGATAGATTGGAAGTTACAGGATTACCAAAGTTATTACAATGTATCCTCTGGAGACCTCGAATATCATTATGATTTATCCTCTGGAGACCATGGTTGTGCGTACCAAATTTAATGGACATCCATCAATTTATTAATAAAAGATGAGGGGTTGCAGGTTCGAACCTAGTAATATAAAAAAAAGTAAAGTAATATAATCTGTCTGTAAAGATAAAAAAAAAAAAAATCACGATCAATATTTTAATGGACCAAATAATTTATATTTATTAATTATATATATTATCTATGTGCAGAATCTGATGATTATAGTATCAAAAAAGACACTGTAATGAATGGACTCAAAGCAAGACTGTTCCAATTATCACTGAGACTGGCTCACTCTTCAACAAACAAAATATAATGCCATCAGAATTATTTGAAATATGTTATAATCAGATAAAGATCCTACATACAGGGCTTCAATATTTTTCTAAAAGACAAAAAAGGACCCACACTGAAGCAGCCACTGGGATCATAATCACAGGCTTGTGGTGCTCTGTAGTTTATCTGATCACTCATCGAAACCGCTTCGTCCTCAGACTGAGCAGATGAAATCGCAGATGAGAAATGAAGGCATGTATCTGATCCTTGCCTCCTGTGTGAGAATCTTATCTAAAACGCCTGGGGAGACAGCCAATCCAACTAATCTCTCCTCCGTCTTGGTCTGATCCTCACCGTGTAAGTGATCCGCACCGATAAAGAAGATATGATTCCCAGTCCCAGTCTTCTCGGTCTTTATCTCAGTTTTATGTTTTGAGGGCATGGAGAAGCACTGTGAGCTTCACATCTTTCTAAACAAACAATTTGTACCGGAGTGTGTTCGGTGCAAAGCTATTTTACTGTGGGATATTCATTTCTAAACGCCAGAGGAAAAACAACAAACAAAAAAAAAAAGGCAAGAAATCACGATAAATGGCAAAACAGCGACAAATGACAAGTGGCCATGGGCTGGCAAAATGACAATGTGCTGTCAAATATCAAATGTGGATTGTAGCTTGAGGAAAGAGAAGAAACATATAGATCAATGGGCATTATTTAAAGGTTCTCTTTTACACAAGCATGTATGTTAAAGACCCTAAGCAGTGTGGTGGGGGTGGTGGTCATTTATTCCCACATCCTTTTTCTTGACTCATTGGCTCTACTTTAAAAATCTTATCCCTGATTACACAGAAAATTTTGTATCTTTTCACATATGCTTAAAATAAATCATATCATGACATTTCAAAGAACTCAGCACTAGCATTATACATGGAAGACAATTACTGTAATACATAATAATTGATATCAAATAATTTATCTTCATCTGAATAACAAGATCAGGTTTAGAAATAGAATTTAAATATTTTTTTGGTTGAATTATCTGTGTGTGTCTTGGCCCCAACATTACAATTCTGCCTCTCAGGTTCCACAGAACAGAAATATCACTTTCTTCACTTGAATTGGATCTCTATCTTTAAGTCTGTTGGGGCTGGTACACGGACTCAGAGGAAATGATGCTTCGTAGATGACTCTGGAAACAGAGAGACACAAACCTCCCAGAGAGAATCCATCTTGGAGTTGAAACAGAAAACTGCTTGCCAAAGTTTGCTTTCATGTTGTTTCTTCTCAGACTCCAAAAGGGCCAAACTTGGGATCTGTTACTTACAGCTTGCAAATGACCAACCAATTGCATACAGCTCTCACCCCATGGCTGCCACCGACTTCTCATCCAAGACTCACTTCCACTATATTCTGTACTGGTTCAGTAATTGCTTGATAAAAGACTACCAGTGAGCGTGTCTGTTCAAGTAAAACAAAGGTTAAGATATAGGATTAAACCATTTTCCTGCTCTAACTCACTGTCTCTGCTTGATAGTGGAGCGACTTTCTTCAATTAAAATTGAATGTGGGAGCTAGAGCGTGAAATGGAACATGGGTCTGAAGTGCCTCAGCAGCTCGGTCACCCCAAAGATAGAGACCATCTTCACTGCTGGGTAACCAAGCTCAGCAGAACATCTCTTTAAAAATATATTCTTCTCTACCTCCTTTTCCCCTCTCAGATACTTGATGGCCACAGAGCTTTTAAGAGATAGTCTCACAGAGAGACTTACAGGTGTTTATGGGTTTGTTGAGCTGAGCAAGCATTAAATTACGACCTTTGGAAAACCCACACTTTGTTGACCAAAGGAAGTGGGATTGTCACACTAAAATTGTTTACTACAAGTTCTGTGATACACAAGTAGATGAGAGCCGTTCCAACAACTCTATGAACGTCTGGTTGATCAGTTTTTTAAGGGAGTAAGAGTTCACACAGAGCTGGAAAATGGTTTAGCTTCAGAGATGACCTCTGGCCCATTGTCAGTACTTTCCCTTCAGCTTTACAAAGATGGCCATCCAACCATGTGAGATCAAGGATGTCAGCAAAACTGTCCATCAGTAAATCTCTGATTGCACCTGCCAGCACAGATACTAAGACACGCATCAAAGAGATCTTTACAATTGCACCCAGGGCAGGCAACCGCTTAATAAGTATTTTCTATTTCCTAAACAACTGACGAGAAGATTGAGTCTCTTCTCCTGGAATGATACAAATTTCTCTCTTTCAAGAATCACCAGACTCTAATTACAATAAATTGTGGGGTAGAGGAGAGATGATATTATAGCTGAAGTTACTGTTGTGGAGCTGGCAAGAGGAGTCAAATCCATATCTTTCAATTTTCCATCACTTGTGGCAGCAGGCTTTGCACGGTAGCCCAGATGACCTTTTCCCAGCCACATTGTACAGCTCTTTCTGGGGGCATCCCAAGGCACTGTATCTCCAAAAGGACTCGCAACACTATCATCTGCTCAAGTTTTATCTTACTTTATTAAATCAAAAAACATGAGAAATGTGACGCTGAATTATGAATAACAACCTAGGCATATGATGTAGGTAACTACAGCAGGACTCCAGTTAACCCTCAAGTGCATTATCTTTTGACCTCACCCCAAAATGAAAAAAAATAATTCAGTTTGTTTTTCAGCTAATAATAAGTATTCATATCATGAATACCATATTATTTTGTATTATTCCAAAAGCGTATTATGGGAATGATCTGGAAATAAGGCATGTTTGTAATTATGTAGTGGGCCAACTTCCAAACCGTGTTAATGCTCCGGCCAAAAGTGTTCAGTGACTGCCCAGACATCGATCCAGTCCATTGGGTGACTGCTGGCTGCCAAACTCTCACACAACACCCAGCTCCAAACAATAAAGTTATTATTAGCGTGGCTAAATGCTTCAAATGTCACATCAGTCCCATTACAGCATAGATAAAGAATCTTGGTTGGCCAGTTGCCAGATTATACAGCCCTGGTGATGTTTTTTCTTGCATTTCTTTTAGAAAGGCTTGAAAATAGCATGCAAGTGTTTTGTGTAATTCACATTCTCACTGTGTGTCTCTGTGTGACAATGCGTGTGTGCGTTCATATACACATCATAAGCATATATTCTAGACCATAGCTAATCAAGGTAGCTGAGAAAAAAGCATCAGCTGATAATGAGTCTAACTTCCTTCCTTTCCTCTCTATACTGAGCCTTTAGAAGCAAACTCACTTCTAAACTCTCTTGGAGCCAGGCTAAAAGGCATTTGTGTGGGCCAAACGGCAGTGAGGCCTTCATTGTCAATGATTTCAATACAGATTTCAATCCCGACTCTGCCAATCAGACAGGCTAGCACTGCTCCTTGTTCTTCCCCATCAAACGGCTTTGTCTCCTGGGCTCATGGTTGATTAGGTGGGGGGAGACTGGGAACTGTGTGTGGCACACTGGGCTCTTTGTCCTACTCAAGAACTAGACTCCTTAACAGTCTATAGCTGCGTGCAATGAACTCACTCATGCACACACACAGACACACACACACGCACACAAGATGCTAAAATAAAAACGTCCAATTATGTGTTTGCACAAGTTCACATATCCCAGAGGAACACACTGTCAAGCGTTCTGTTGAACTATATGTTAATGATTTCTCTCCTCTTGGTAATGTGACTTTGAGAAATGAACGTGGCCGAGTGCTTCACAAGAATAACAGAAGACACTCAGTGAGCAATTCATGCGATCTAGAGATGTATTTATCTGTATCTGTATTAAGGTAATATGAGCTTAACGTTTGGTTATATCGATTAAATGTAGTTAATCAAAAAGGCTAATATGTGTATGGTTTATGTTAGCTGGTTACTGCAAATCATGTGAGAACTAATCCCCAGTGACAATCTACAGCAGCTCCAATGCTCTTCATCAGAATTACAGAGTTCTTACATGTTTCCAGTTTAAATTATTTAATAAGAGCGTCAATCAGGACCAGGCATCTTAGAACTACTCTACATTAAAAATCTGAGATTGTTTTCCTTCATCATAAGCGTAAGAAGTCCTGACACAGTGCTGCAGCGAGCGTGCTGTCGGCTCTATACCCTCTCAGCAAAGTGTTTATTACTGAGGCCATGTCGAGTCACCACACTAAGTGGCTCACATACAACCACATTAATCTCCATTAACACAGATGGAGACTTAATCCCTACTCTTCGACAGCAAGTCACCCAGGGTCTCTGCCTGCGCCGACGCCATCATAGGACCACCGCTGGTCACACACCACGAGGAAACGCACAGCTAATGTTGGCAAAAGAGCTATTAATATGTTGTTGGTCACCGTTTAAAATCAAGTCTCAAGTCAAATTAATGTATGCCTCAATATCAACACTGGCCAACCAACCTATTGACACATATAATTTA